TGCAAGCCGACTGGGTCAGCTGTTTGCCGTCCACCTCCAACAGCGGCACCTGTCCGAAAGGCATGTCTAATCGCAACAGACTGATTAACCGGTGAACCTAGCCAATCAGGTGAACCCTTACTTGGCTTTACTTTCGGCCAGTCCTCGATCGTTACGCGCACATCCTCGTACGGTTGACCGACGTACGCGAACAACAAGCGGATTGGCTCGCCCAATCCCTTGATGTCGAAGTAGGTGAGTTTGTAGTGTGGTTTACCTTGCGCCATTCTCCGGTCGAGTCCAACGATCCTCGTTTGTGACAGCTGCAACGACAGCTTGGTAACGGCCACCACAAACAGACGCTCCCATTTTATAGCCGTTGCGCGGACCACTCAATCACCAACGAAAGGAGAACTGACTGAAAGCTACTTTATTTTTCAGTGCAGTTCGGGCGACTACAGACTCTGGCCGCAGAACGTGAGCGATCGAGGTGTACTGAAATAAATGTTATGCATACAATGATTATCCTATCCCTGCTGCTTGATCGAAGTTTCAACACACGTCGCGCTGATGGAAATGAAAGCACACGAAAGTTACTAGTTGGGAAATTTAGACATAAGGAAATTGAAACATTCTTGAGGGCAAGTTGAAGAGGAATAGCTTATTGTTTTAGCCCACGTGATCGATAAAAGTGAATTCGACCACCAAAAAGGGCAAGGGCACATTTCGAGTTTTCAATAATCTCATTCTTTAAATTGTAGATTGAATTGCACCGTTGAATTCAAGAAATCATGTGGCTTCAAATTTTCTAGATACTCCAAACCGTCCTCCTGTCTGCGTTCTGAGCAAACGCTGGTTCCGCATTTTAGCCTGATTTCGAAAACTCATTTGGATGCTTAGCCCTTCAATTCATGATTAGAAAGTCTTAATAAGAAAAGGTTCAATTTATTTGTAATTTACTTCGTGGGTCAATATGACCATCCGAAATTATCTAGGATTAAGCGCATGAAGAACAAAAGAATAATGCATAAGAGCATATGCAAAAAAAATAATGGGATCATTTAGCGTGATGATGGACAGAGCTACGTATAAAAAATCGACGCATTCTTGCGTTCAATAATCAATAAGCTTATGACGATTAAAGGTACTGTCAACCGTCTCTAACGTTCCATACTGCAGACAGCATGTCGCTGAATTGGTATCTTGTTGACTGTAGTTTATACCGGCAAGCGGTCAGTGCATCGCCCGTAGCAGACTTTGTCAACATATCGCTATGCCACGTGAATCCGTCGGTTTCACCACTTTTCTAGCGATAATGTCCAGTTTTTCATTCGGCCCAGATTACCAAGCACCGTCGTTATTTTCACGGCTCTCCACAACATGCACCGCTGCTCCTCGGTCAAGTTAGCGAAGTGAATCAGCCCTGAACATTGTGCATTAGAGACCATGTGCATGTCCTCGTGAAAGATTGTAGAACATTTGAAGTTTCTTGAACTTGCCTCAAGCCTCAGAGGTACAAGGCAGTTTTGCTTCCTTCTGAACTACATTTGTAACCTGTTTTCACAACCATGCACTGTCCTCCAGAATAATATTTAGACTCTTGATTTATGATTTCCCGCAGAACGCGTTGCTAATCACATATTTTGGTTCTTAACCACAGTTTAAACACCCTGTTGTTAAGATGGGTGTGGCAAATACGATATCCTTTGACTTAAATCGATTCAGCCAATATCCAGCTGCATTGAAACAAGTACAGACATTCGGATGTTATTACGTCAAGGTTATATGTCTTCATAGTTCTGGACAGAGATGAGTAGAGGTGTGTCGTCATCATATTTATACGGCTAGCTCGCACTCGGCTCCTTCAGTTGCTGGTGCATAAGGCAATCACTCAAACGACAGTACTGAACCTTGCGGCCATTCAAATTCACAAGGTTCTTAACTCGACCTGATTCTTCCTGCTCGGGCGCACTCTGCAATGGCACAGAAATATGTTATTCGCATCCGTCAAGCCTCGCAGCAAACGATCTCGTGCAATCGTGCTGTAGTCCTAGCTGAAGTTCACAAACACCGAGCGTAATATTTTATAGCCTTTGTCTAGGCTACTGGAAATCAGATTAATTAGGGTGGTCAGAACGTGAGTTATGAATTGACCTCGAGTACAGCCAAATGAC